AAATAAATAAATAAATAAATAAATAAATAAATAAATAAATAAATAAAATAACCAAAGAGGCAAAGGATCTGTACGCAGAAAACTACTGAACACTCATGAAATAAATTGAGGAAGACACAAAGAAATGGAAAAACGTTCCATGCTCATGGATGGAAGAACAAATATTGTTAAAATGTCTATGCTACCTAGAGCAATCTATACATTCAAAGAAATCCCTATCAAAATACCATCAACTTTTTAGAATTGCAACAAATAATCCTCAAATTTGTATGGAACCAGAAAAGACCCCAAATAGCCAGAGGAATGTTGAAAAAGAAAAGCAAAGCTGGTGGCATCACAATTCCAGACTTCAAGCTCTATTACAAAGCTGCCATCATCAAGATAGTATGGTACTGGCACAAAAACAGACACATAGATCAACGGAACAGAACAGAGAGCCCAGAAATGGACCCTCAACTCTATGGTCAACTAATCTTCGACAAAGCAGGAAAGAATGTCCAATGGAAAAAAGACAGTCTCTTCAACAAATGGTGTTGGGAAAATTAGACAGCCACATGCAGAAGAATGAAACTGGACCATTTCCTTACACAACGCAGCAACATTTGTGACCTCGGCTATAGCAACTTCTTGCTAGACACATCTCCCAAGGCAAGGGAAACAAAGGTAAAAATGAACTATTGGGACTTCATCAAGATAAAAGGCTTTTGCACAGCAAAGGAAACAGTCGACAAAACCCAAAGACAACCAACAGAATGGGAGAAGATATTTGCAAATGTCTTTTTTTTTTTAAGATTTTATTTACTTATTTGAAAGAGAGAGACACAGCGAGAGGGGGAACAGAAGCAGGGGGAGTGAGAGAGGGAGAAGCAGGCTTCCCGCCGAGCAGGGAGCCTGATGCGGGGCTCGATCCCAGGACCCTGGGATCATGACTTGAGCTGAAGGCAGACGCTTAATGACTGAGCCACCCAGGTGCCCCGATATTTGCAAATGTCTTATCAGATAAAAGGATAGTATCCAAAATCTATAAAGAACTTATCAAACTCAACACCCAAAGAACAAATAATCTAGTCAGGAAATGGGCAGAAGACATGAACAGACATTTCTCCAAAGAAGACATCCAAATGGCCAACAGACACATGTGCTCAACATCACTCAGCATCAGGGAAATACAAATCAAAATACGAGATACCACTTCATATTGTCAGAATGGCTAAAACTAACAAGTCAGGAAACAACAGATGTTGGTGAGGATGTGGAGAAAGGCGAAACCTCTTGTGCTGTTGGTGGGAATGCAAGCTGGTGCAGCCACTCTGGAAAACAGTATGGAGGTTCCTCAAAGTTAAAAAAAGAGCTACCCAACAACCCAGCAATTATACTATGGGGTATTTACCCCAAAGATACAAATGTAGTGATCCGAATGGGTACGTGCACCCCAATGTTTATAGTAGCAATGTCCACAATAGCCAAACTATGGAAAGAGCCTAGATGTCCATCGACAGATGAATGGATAAAGAAGATGTGGTATATATACACAATGGAATACTATTCAGCCATCAAAAAATGAAATCTTGCCATTTGCAACGACGTGGATGGAACTGGAGAGTACTATGCTAAGCGAAGTAAGTCAATCAGAGAAAGACAATTATATGATCTCACTCGTATGTGGAATTTAAGAAGCAAAACAGAATCATAGGGGAAGAGAAGAAAAAACAAGACAAAATCAGGGAGAACAACCATGAGAGACTCTTAATTATAGGAAACAAACTGAGAGTTGCAAGAGGGGAGGGAATGGGGGGATAAGGTAACTGGGTGATGGACATCAAGGAGGGCACGTGATGTAATGAGCCCTGGGTATCATATAAGACTGATCTTATATCACTTAATCACTGACCTCTACCTCTGAAACCAGTAACACATTATATGTTAATTAATGAAAAAAAAAAAACCTGGACAAGGACCCAGGTTTTAGGGTTCCTGGGCCCTGTCCTTCCCTCTGCTCCACAAGAAGAGATATATGAAGCTCCTCTCCCTCCAACACAGTCTCCTGGGTGCAACTGGAAGATAGGAAATAAATCTTTATTGTGTCAGTTTAAAAGTCCCATGCCATCCCATCCTCACCTCACATCTGTGCAGTGGGCTGGCTCCCTTGCACATCCTGAGGCAGGAATGGGATAAGGTCCAGATAGCCTTCTCCCGTGCTCCAGCCCCCAGCCCGCCAGTTTATGTCAGCAATGCCTGGCGCAGCATCTGCTTCTTTTGGGGTGTGAGGTGGGTGGGGAACTGGATGTCAAAGAAGATGAAGAGATCTCCCTTCTTAGTGGGGTCCTCAGGTAGTGGCATCCCCTCACCTGGCACCTTCTTGAAATACTTGGGACTGAGACGGGAGGATGAAAGAAGGGAAATTAGCGCGTGCCCCCCCCCCACCCCCGCAGCACTTTGACAGATCCCATGCTGCCCCTGCTCACATAAACCTCAGGCACGGGGCAGTCGGTATCGCTTTCCACCAGGTGGCCCTTTTCAGCCAGAACAGGGTGGGGGTGGTGGGACTGGCTTGTTCAGACAGCCTGCCCCCTGAGAACCCATTTACACTGAGTCTCTAATAGAGGGTTCCAGAACTAGAGGTCCCACCCTGGGTTGGGTGGGAGTTGCTGAGCTACTGAGTAAAGCTTCCCATGCAGAGGGCCTTTCCTGTAAAGGACTTAAGGGATACAACTCAGAACACCAATGAGAGGTTCAGGAGGAGGAAGGCAACCAAGACTGCCTAACATGGGATGGGGGGGCCCTCTGGGCTCTATATTGGCCTCATGCAAGTTAGAAAAAGGCACTCCATTTACCAGGTAAATGCAGTTCGCCAGAGGTGGGGCTGGATTTCAGTCCTCTCTGGTGGGGACTGAACTGCACCAGGCTGCCCAGTGTGCCACTACCCTCCAAGGCCCAGGCCAGGCTTTCTGCCAACTGACGCCCAAACAGATGCACTCACTGGACAATGTCATTAATGGGGATGTTGAGCAGACGATCATCCAGGGTCTTCACCTCCACGGTGCAGCAGGTCAGAGCCTAGGGGACGTGAGGGCCAAAGGTGCGAGTGGGGGAGGTCACCATGGCCATTCTGTTTAGAAAGCACTTTCAGAGCTTATTCAGTGCCAGGCCCTGAGCCCCGCCTCAAGGAGACAAAAGGCTGTTCAAGGGCTCACAGGAGAGCAAGCCAGGCAACTACCTGCCCTCAGGAGCTCAGTCTGGTAACTAAGACTGATGATGATATATGTTATGATAGAGGGAAGTAAAGGGGTCTGCGAGAGCCAAAGAGAGGCCCCAAAACCATTTTGGAGTGAGACAGGAGGGCTGCACAGTGGTGGCAGCAGTTGATAAGGGTGAGAAGGAGCTTGCCAGGTAGACAAGGCAGATATACAGCATTCCATGCAGAGGGCCAAGCACAAACAAGAATATGGAGGTGTGAAAAATGCACCCAGTGGACAGGAGTTGGAGTGAAGGGGAAGAGAGCCGCAGGGGCAGAGTGTGGAGGGCCCTGAATGCCATATGAGATGCTGAGACAGGCCTGCGGCACAGTCCAAAGAGTACGGGGAAGAGCCTAGAGGAGATGCTTGGAAGGGAGGCCGGAGAGCCGCCAAAGGCTGCTGGGCAGATGCAGGTGCCCACACCCACACTGTGGGGATGAACAGAAGGAGATCAGGTGGCAGGATTGACTGAGTGATTGCCTGCAGGTGGGGTGGGGGAGGGAAGGCAAAGTCTAGCCTAGTGCTATTCCTTACATGGAGGGGCCCTGAAGACAGTCACGAAGATTCTATGTGCACTCGTCACGTTCTGAAGGCCTGCCCCACACAGCGGGGGGAGCGCAGAGTGCGGCCAGCTTGCTCACTCTCATCTGCCCACCTCTGCTCCTCCACTTTGCCCACTCACCTTGCCCAAGGGAATGGGGTTCACAAAAAGGAGGTTGTCATTCTCCCTGCGGAAGCGAGGGTGTAGCTTCTCCTTTACGATGAAGATGATGTCAGCTGGGATAATGTTGGGGCCCTGGGCAGAGGAGGCCAAGTGTTGACAAGGGCTAATTGGCTGTGTGCCACTGGCCAAGTTCCTGCCTCCATGTCTTCAACAATGAAGAGATTAAACTAGGTTTTCTGGAAGGACCTTTCCAGTTTGGTTCCATAGCCCCTCCTCTGAGAAGCCTACTCGAGTGAATCCAGCACTGCCCCCCCCCACTACTTCTCCTCTATTGAGCATGACCAAAAGGATTCACTCCGCTGGAGGGGGACAGAGCTTCCTCAGGTGGTGGGCAAAATACTGAGCTGCAAGTTTTGAAGAAAACTTCCTGCAAGCCTCTGTCCTGCCAAGCTTCATTAAGTCACCAAAACTCTGCTAAAGTCTCTTCTGGAAGAGCTCTTGTGCTCTTGCCCTGAGCAAATCCCTTCTCTCTCTGGGCCTCAGTTTCCTATTCTGCAAAATGGGAAAAAGCCCTGGGCTATCCACTCACAGGGGTATGGTGAGGCTCTGTCGCTTGAAAGGGACTTTGGGGAACATTTCACCCACTCTGCAGACTGGTCTCCCTACCAGACTAGGGCTCACAGGGGCAGGAGAAAGCATTGCCTCCTTCCCCTTCAGTCTTCCCACCCCATGAGCAAGCCCAGGTGACTGACACCAACTAGGACTGACCCTAGTCAGTTCCCTCCTTCTCACCTGGTCCCCTTCCTTCTCAAAGGTGATCCGTGTGCCTTGCCTCCAACCGGGTTTCACATCAATTGTGAGAATCTTGTCCTTGATGGTAGAGGAGTACCCATCCTCGTTCAGCACCTGCAGCCAGATGGCGGGGGGGGGGGGAGGTTTGCTGGAGCTTTCCCGGCTGGCCTCTTCACATGAGAAAGATGTTACAGGGGTTCATTCCTCTAGCAACAGGGAGAACCTTCCCGGAGGCATTCCCACTCTCACCCCATTCACTGGAACCAAGGACTCATAATTCCAGGACAGGCTATGTCATGGGGCTGAGGCCTGAGACGCCAAGTGGTCACCATGAGTTGATCAAGTCCCCAACTCCAGCCCTAGAAATCACATGGCCCTGGCCACTAACAAATGCATAGTGAACACATACCCAGGTCCTCTCTCCCAACCCAGAGGCTCTGGCTCTGAGGCTCTGGCAGGTCTCTTAATCATGAAGGGAGAAAGACCACAGAGGTCAGCATATCTGAGCATTCCCTATTATGTCATCCATCCATTCCCCAACCAGTCACATGCTCAGATGGGTGCCATCTGTGGAAAGCATGGCCATAGTTGGCATCTCCTCTTCTGGGCAAAGGTGTTAGGAGGCCTTGCTCGTGTGCCTAGCCTAGGGCTGGACCATGGGACAGGGCCAACCAGAAGACTGTACCCTGAGGCCCTGAAGGTCTTCAATCAGACTCTTTGGGGACTGTCCTGCAGCCCACCCTCCATGCCCACACTGTTTCTTCTTACTCATGAGGCTTACACACTGATGAAGCCCTGGGGGTATGGTCTGGTAATGCCCAGAGGGCAGAATTCACAAGAGACTCTACCTATTCAGAGCCCAACTTCCCACAGGGTTGGGGCTGAACTGAGAAGAAAGGAAAGACTCTGTCCCAGTTAGGAACACTGGAGAGGAGATTCCTGCACTAGGAAAGAATGGGGCTAATACCTTCAACTGTCCCTTCCAACTTCAGATTCTAGAATTCTATTATCCTAGGTCTCCAAATCTGAGATTTCATGATTCCATCAGAGACCATACCCGAGGTCTCCAGTGAGGACCGGGAGGAGGTTACTGATAAGATTGGAGGGGATAGGTAGTGGCTCCCAGTAGGAGCCAGCCAAGTACTCACCCTTCGGGAGATCTTAATTTTCTTGGTGCAGCCGAAGAATAAGTCCTCCAGGGATAGGTAGAGGTCTCGTTCTATTGGGGGGTCCTGTTTCTTGACCCCTCGGCCCCGGAGCCCCCCAAAGTTCAAATCTACCTCACCTCCTTCTGCATCAAAAAACTCTGCAGGAGGTGGGAAGAGGAGAGGAGCAATAGAGGCTGTTTCCAGGGACTTGCATGCATAGACACCTCCAACACACACCTCTTCAGTCCCCAAGTGTAATACCCAGCATCCCATTCCTACCTTGCAGACTCAGACTGTTAGGCCAGGCCAAAAAGTTGTCCTCAATTGCAGATCCAATGACTATCATTCCTTGCCCCTTCCCACTGCTTCATCCCCCTGTTTGGATATTCCCACACTTTCCTGACTCCCTTCCCCCTAAACTTGAGGAAATACCGCTCAAGGCTGGCTGCCTCAGGAGAGGAGTGCCCTCTGGTGGTGGCTCCTGGTATGCCAGAAATTACTCTGGCTGTTAGCTTCCTGCTGGGAGGGTCATAAGCATCCTAGACCTTCCTACCCTTCCCCAGGTTCCCCTCTCCCTCACTGTCCAGCCCAGCCTAAGACCACTGGAGACCCCAGACTCAAGTTTCTATGAAGTCATCAGCTGACAAGGGGCTGGGGCAGAGGTGGTTCCTAACAAATGTGAGAGTTCACCAAACTCGTTTTGTTCCTCAATCTCTTTTCCTCCCCCTGCCTAGCTCTACACCCGTAACCCCTCTTGCTGCCCCACCCTTCCATCCCGGTGCAAAGAGCCCTTGTCTCTTGAAGTGCTATGTGGTTGTTTGGTTTCAGTTTTTCTGTCCATGGGATGGAGTAATAATGCCTGATCTGCCTTCTACCATTAGGATTAAATAACAAGATGATGAAGAGCCGAATGTTGCTGAGAGCTAACTACGCATCAGGGACTGGTTTCAGCTCTTCAAACTATTCTCTCACTGGGCAGAGACCAAAGAAAATGCTCACAGTCCCACAGTCCATCTGAGCCCAGGACAATTTGACTCTAGAACCTGTGCCCTGAACCACTGTGCTTATCTCTACATGTGAAACCCTTCGTAAATTTTGTAAAGTCCGGGGTTGCTATCATAATGAAGATTTTTTGTACTCTACCTCTTATGGTTAGTGCCAGGAATGAAGATCACAGGCTAGAAGGGGGCAATGACTTGAGGCTAGGGAGGGCGAGTCCCCACCGTAATGTGTGCCCCGCTGTGAGGTGGTCACTAATTGAGAGGCCTGTGAATGACCTGGTCCCCTCTCGTATTACTGAATTCATTTGTTCACCCTGTACCTATGGTGCACCAGACACCCCAGTAGCCAGGTCATAGGAAGGCCGAGTCCCTCGGCCCTGCAGGGAGACAGGACACAGGAATCCCTAGGGTGAAGCGCTGAGGCAGCATAGCTTCTGAGTGCTGCCCGAGGGACCCCAAACCCTGTAGGCGATGTCCCATAAGCTCTGGGTTGGCTCCTCTGAGCTGCCTCTTTTCCATGCACCTGTCCCTGGGAGAGACAGGTCCGTTGTATGCTATCTTTCAGTCTGCAAAGCCCATGTTCATGATGGCTTTATAAAGCCCATTATCTCATTTGATAATGACGGGTGAGGAATGGACTAGTACCGTCATTTAACCGTAAGGAAGCTGAGGTTTTAGAGCGGTGAAGAGATCTGCCCAGAGTCACACAGCTCATAAGTGGCAGTGCGTGGATTTGAAACAGGCCTGACCCCAAGTGCCCTGCTGTGTCCAGTCACACATGGAGCTTATGAACTCAGCTTCCTCTAGCAGACCGGTGAAGGCAATTGAGGGGTCTCTGAGGTAGACAGGCAGTGAGCTGTAGCTCACTTCTTTTTAACATGGAGAAAAGGAAGAGAGAACTTCGGAAATGCAGAAAGGCATTATATCCATGGGAAGGGGGGACAGAACAGGCAGTGACACCAAGCCTCTCTGAGTCGCATAAATGGAGCCAGGAAGACAGGTCTGAGGGCTAACTGTCCTTGCAAGATGACCCTGAGCCTCAGAAAGCAGCTCTTTGTCAATTTGTCGGGATGTGGGATCATTCACCCATCCATCCATGTACGCATCTGACTAGCACACCCCCGTACAATGAAATCTGAAGCAGCTATTAAAATGAATGAAGTAGATCTGTATATAATATGGTATATAATAAGATTATCTCCAAGCGATACTAAGCGAAAAAAAATCAGTGTGTACAATATGGTCCTATTTCCTTAATTAGATAAAAGGCTTATATAAAGATAAATATATGCTCATAAATGCACAGAACATTTCTGGAAGGATACACAAACTGTTAACAGTAAGTGGCTGCTTCTGGAAAAGGAAGGAAGGAATTTATTTCTTCTTTAACACATTTTTTTTTTTTTTTACCAGGCACTATACCTATTTCTTAAAGTAAACAAAACAAAAGGATTTGAAGAAAAGAAACCCTTTACAGCTCTGTCCTTCCCCAGTCAGGCAAATGGGTAGGTGGGGTCTCTTACCACCAAAGGGATTGTCTCCTCCGAAGAACTCATGGAAAACCTTTTCAGGGTTGCCGTGGAAGACGTAACCAGTTGTCCATGGGGTCTGGGATCCAAACTCCAGAGGAATCCCGCCCTTCAGGCCCTCCTCTCCGAACTTGTCATAGATGCCTCTCTTCACAGCTGTGGACATGTGGCACCTTGAGGGGAGGGCCAGTCTTGGGGACTAAGATAGCAGCTGGGCTGGGAAGCAGGTGGACACAGGGTGGACAGAAAGGGGCAAAAGCAACCTTATTTCTAAAGTGTCTGTTGTCTGGCATTCTTTGGAGGGAGACCCTCAAAGTTAGGTGTGTAATCTCATTCCGGGTGCATCTAAGTAGGGTCCTATAGCCAGGAGGAGACCCGGGTTAGGTGGAGACTTGCTGGGGGCGGCAGGGGAGGGCTGGAGGAGGGATCTAGAGATTAAGGGTCAGGCTACTCTCCTGGAATTTGGCTAACCTCATCATCACAGCTACTGTTTTCTCTGGGGCAGGTAGAATCCTAGTACCTTGAAATTCTAGAATCTAAGAATTCTAGAGCTGCAAAATTCTAGAGCTTTGAAATCCTACCGTCTAAGGACTCTAAAGTCCTGAAAACTTGGGACTAAAGAAACCTTTGTGATCTGGCCATTCTTCTGCACAGGATCTGTGATTAGTCTCCAGGACAAGCCTTCAGGGACACCCATGCAGGTACTGCCCAGGGCAGAAATGGGGAATCACTTTCTACACTCTTGGTTTCAGGAGATTTCTGAATTACCAGCCTCTCTCTGCCCCTTTATAGATATGCTGTCCTTGGGGAGTTGGAGATGTAGCTACTTGGCAGTCTGGGAAGAGTAACTGGGCATACGCCTCAGCCTCACCTTCCTCCCTTGGCAGCAAGCATCTCACTGTGTGCATCCCTGCAGGGCACAGGGGGTGGGGGGCTGTGGGAGACCTGCCCCAGGTCCTGCCCCACTGATACTGGCTGAGCAGATCAGCTTAATCCAAGGGCTCTCCACACCACGTCAACCTTATCTTGTGACTACTAAGAGAGGCAATTCTTCATGCTGTTTTCTTTCTAAGTTTGTTCAGACTCTAGGCAGGGAAGAGGAATGCTTCCTCTTGGTTGGGCCCCCTCAGAAAGCCCAACACCCAGAGACCTAAGGAATAGAGCGAGGGCAGAGATGCGTGGAGTCACTCACGGTCGCTCAGCACATCATAGGCCTCTGCTATTTGCCTGAATGTCTCTGCTGAGGATGGCTCACTGGACTTGAGTGGGTGGTTCTTAAGGGCCAGTTTCCGGTACCTAGAGGAGGGAGGATTCATACAAGTCATAGCAGCTGACATGGGCCTGAGGCGCAGATCATGGCTCAGAGCTGGCTCTGCCATCCACTGCTTTGATGTTCCCAGCTATAAAATCAGGGCTGTGGTGGCCAAGGCGGCACATTGCTCAGATGCCCTTGAAGAGAACCCAGTGGGGAGAACACGTAGTTGCCCGCCCTGGGTGTTTGTGCTGCGGCTACACTTCCTCAAGCTGCTCCAGCCAGTGCCCAAGCATGGTGGGGACATTAGTGCTGGTGCATCCCTGTAGGACACAAGACCCCTCCAACCTGCAACCTCTGCCTCAGGCCTCCTGTTGATAGACCCAGAGCTTTTCCTCCAGACCACTCCGCAGCCCTCCCCAGCCAGCTCCCGGGCCACAGGTATCAGACCTGCTCTGGGGTCCAAGCCTGCCCCCCGCCCCCACACACTCCTGCTTCCCCTTCACCCTCACACGTGTTTCCCCATTTCTTGCACATCTAATCCTGTCTTGATGTCTGAACTGACACCTAGGCTTCTTGGGAAGATCGGGTAAAATAAGGCGTCAAAGGGCCCGGTAGAGAGAGGCACTTAGCGCATGTCAGGCCCTCTTACTGTCTCCCACTTCTGTGCTCATTCCTTTCCCAGCTTCCGTAGCTGCCCAGTCCCACCACTCACCAAAGTGTGGGAGATAGGGAGGATAACCACAGGGGATGGTGCTGTAGCCCAAGGCCAGGAGCCCTGAGGGACCCTGACCATCCCTGAGCCTATAGGAGTGAGGGGAGGGAGAAGTTAATGAAATCCCACAGGAGAGTGTGTGGCCGGGGGCCCTTGGCAGGAGCTGTCATCTGCAGTTAAGGAACATAGCCAACCTGAAAGGCCCTCAGAGGAAGGGAGCTGGGTATAAATACCCCAGCCCCACTCTCCTCTCCTCCCTCCCGATCACCTGCCCTGGGCTCTCTTAGCCGGATGCAAGTCTGAGGACCAGGGCGCCTATTGATGCAGTTCAGAGGGCCCAGCTTCCAGCGCAGAGAGTAGGGTGCAGAAGGGTGGGGAGTGGGTCTGGAGGAGCCAAAAGAGGGCATCACTGCAGCCCCCTGAGTGGCTCAGTACAAACCTGACCGCATGTCAGAGTGCTGTGGGTCAGAGTGCAGCTGCTCTACCTGGCTCACGCCTTCTAAGCTGGTGACCCCTTCTGCTCCTTCTCTTCGCACTCCACACACTATCTGTGCGCAAGCTCATCTATCCTGAGGCTCTGGGTACCACTCACTCGCTGACCACTCCCAAATCTCTATCTGAAACCAGGCCACTGAGCTCCAGACTTCTGTATCCAGCTGCCATCTTGGTGTCTCCTCTCCAACGTCCCATAGGCCCCACAAACTCAATGAGCCCAAATACAAACACATTTTCGTTCCCCAATTTTTCGCGCACTTTCCCAGGCACTGCAGCCAAAAACCTGAGCATTATCAACTCCCAGGTTCTTCGTCCTCTCCACCCCCAGCCCACCCGTCACCAAGGCACATCAGCTTTTCTTTCTCCCCAGTGTTCTCTTCTTGCCTCTTCATCCCTACAACTATTGCAGAACCATGGCTTCTTGTTTCTAGGGTTCCCCCTTTCCAGGCCTTTCAGTGTGCTGCCCTCTGACCAAGTCACTCTCCGGCCTAAGTCCTCCACTGGTTGGTTCCCCTTCGTCTTCAGCATAAAATACAAATCTCTCTAAGATTCAAGCCTCTTCTCTCTCTGGCCTTCTCACTCCCTGCTCTCCCTCCCCACTCCCATGACCTCTCCTGACCTTCTGACCAGGCTCTGAACTCCCCACACGGCATTGCTCATGTCTTTGACATTCTATTCCCTTCACCTGTAACACTCACCCCTCTCCAGTCCCTCCTATCTCCCACTGGCACGTTTTCATTCATCTTTCAACACGCAGCTCAGGGGTCAACACCTCCAGGTTGCCCTCCCTAATGGCAGCGTCCATTCTGGGTTACACTCCCCTTCCCGCGTCCCCAGTGCCTTCGATCCCTCAACTTAGCACTCGGTGCTCCAACTGTTTATTGACTGGCTTGTCTCTCCCACTAGCGTGAGTTCCTTGAGTTGCTATGTCTAGTTCTGTGTCGCTGGTGCCCAGCACTGAGCAGCAGGGAGTAAATGAATGACCCAAACTAACTGTCCCACAAGGCAGCCCATCTCACTGCTCTGACTCTAAGGCAACATTTCATCTTACTGAGTGAGGTCAGCTGTCCTGTGACTCTGAAGACTCCAGAGGCCTTACAGAGAGTATCTGCTTTGTCTACCTCCAGAGACTTGAAGACAATTGTCATGACCTCCCTGAGGCTTTGAAACCAGCCCTTCTCAGGTACAAAGATCAAAGTCAGTTATGGGGAGAACTGCAAGTAAATTCTATCAATAAGTAAAAGTAAGTAGGTTTGAGAAGAGTTCCATTTTCATAGAAACTTGAGTGGTTGTCAGATTTGCTCGGCAGTGCCATCACTGTTTTCCTGAGTTGGCAAGATGGAGTGGAGTCACAGCTCAGATGTGGCAGCCTCGACTGAGTGAGAGATACTGAGAAGGTAAATAGCTAGGCAATTAGGAATCATCGTGGTGATTTTCTTCATTATATACATTCAGCATTTTGAGGGGGGAGGTCAAAATCTAGGTATTCCTGTATGGGACTCATCTCTTAAAGCTGTTACAAGAGATAAGGGTTAAGAGCCTTGTTTGAAATACATGCGGTTCTTTAAACCACTCTTTTTTTTTTTTGAGCTTTTATATTTGAGTTTATTCTTCATTTAACTTTTAAAACACTACTATAGTTGAAGATTAAAACAAAAACAATAGCAAGTAGTGAACTATGATTATAGTCCTTCACTCATTCACTACTGCATATAAAATGCCAGCAGTGGTACTCACTGGCCCCAGTAAGAGGTCTGACACTGAACACCACCCCTGGGATGATGTTCATCATCCTCATAGGCTTCCCCATTGTAATGGCGCCATCTTTCCTGATTTGGATCAAAGTCCACCAGTTCTACCTGGTCCATTTCATCAGTCTCTTCTACTTCCTTCCTCTCAGGCAGGAGTTTTTCCAGCAAAGAGAGTTTATCAGGAGAGAGGAAGCCATTCTCAGGAAAGTTTACCTTAAATTCGATGATTAGGCGACCCTTCTCATATGGTCTATGATAAATTGGCATGCCTTCATTTAGCACACACTTGATATCTCCATGCTTGACAACGTGACCTGGATGAGAGGTGATGACGATGGTTCGGTTGTCAATTGTAGATATTGGCTTTTGAAAGCCGCACCACGCTGTATGTCCATACACATGTAAAGGTCTTCGCCTTGCCAAGTAAAAACAGCACGGTCCTTCTGATCTAAAACAAGGTTCCAGTCCTGGTTCTCGGTCTCCCTCACCATGGAAGGTTATCTTCTGGCCATCCTTCATACCTTTGTCAATATGAACTTCTAGAATCTTCTTCTCTTGAACTACCTTCCTTCCATTGCAGCTTTTACATCTATCTTTAGGACGGATCCGTTCCCCATGGCCTGGCACTCCACGCACACAGACTGAATTTGCTGAACCATTCCAGGTCCTATCTGATGAATTCTTATTTGCATTCCAGTACCTCAGCAACTGGGACAACATTTGGCTCCTTTCTTACCACCTTGGTCTTCACATTTATCGCAAATCACATTCTTTTGCAGAGCTAGCTTTTTCTTGTTGCACCATTATATAAATCTTCTAAGGTTACTGAGAACTGATGCACAACATTTTTACCTCTCCTTTCTCTCTGCATGCTTCCTCCTCCTCCAAAACACATATCAAAGATGTCCATGGGGGAGCCAAAACCACCACCAGCTTCACCTTCTTTAATTGCCTGTTCTCCTTTGTCATATAATTCCCTTTTCTTTGCATCAGAGAGTACTTGATAAGCTTGAGAAATCTGTTTAAACTTCTCTCCTTCATTTGGATTCTTATCAGGGTAGTACTTCAAGGCCAGTTTCCTGTAGGCCTTTTTAAATTCCTCTTGGGTGGCATTGGGTTTGATCCCCAAAACATCATAGTAAAGTGGTTTCTTTCACCATTTTCTACAGCCGGTGAGAGGGCTGAGGCCGGTGTGGGGGACCGGGAAGGAGCTTGTTGCTGGGCACAGCTTGGGCAGCTGCCGCTCTTCTGTGTCTCACCGAGTGTCCTGGAAAGTTCCCTTAATCACTCTTTATATGGCATGGTTCTAGCTGCAAATGATTGCTGAGCTTTTCATGTTCATTATCTCATATAATCCCATGTCAATACCACAACAACCCTTATAATTATTATTTTAAAAATAATTGTATTTATTTGAGAGACAGAGAGTGAAAGAGCACAAGCAGGGGGAGCGGCAGAGGGAGAGGGAGAAGCAGACTCCCCGCTGAACAGGGAGCCCGATGTGGGGCTTGATCCCAGGACCCTGGGATCATGACCTGAGCTGAGGCCGACGCTCAACCCACTGAGCCACCCAGGTGCCCCAACCCTTATAATAATTATTTTAGAGATGGAAAAACTGAGGCTCAGAGAGGTTAATTTGTCCATATCACACAGCTAGCAGGTAGGAGAACCTGGATTCAGACCTGGGTCTTTCCAGTATTTAACTTTGGCTTATCTTTCTGCACTCTAACTCCTTGTGACCTCTCCTTAGATGGCTCCCACTGGCCAAGGAGATGCTCTGAACAGTGGGTGACATCACATGCTGTCCTGAATTGTTCTGTAATTGTCTCATGAGTTTGTGTCTTGTTTCTCCAGCCACACTGTAGACCCTCTCCACTTACCCCACATAAATGCCATGTAGGACCTGGCCCACAGTAGGCCTGGTGTCTGGATACTGGTTCTGCCATTTACCAGGCACATGGCCTTGGGATAAAAACCATACCTACCTCTCAGGGTTGTTGTGAGGATTAAATGAAATAATGATGGAAGGTTCTCAGAACAGAATCTGTACATTCAAGAAATGTATCACTACCCAACCTTAACTGACTGTATTATCACAGATTCCTTCTTTTTTCTTTACCTTCCAATGATCCCACTAATAGCCAAGTCCATTCTCTCTCCTCTCTCCAGTGTACTGTTCTGCTTCAAGTTTCATCTTTTTTTTTTCAAGATTCTATTTATTTGCAAGAGAGTGAGAGAGCGAGCATACAAGCAAGGAGAGGGGCAGAGGGAGAGGGAGAAGCAGGCTCCCCACTGAGCAGAGAGCCCAATGCGGGGCTCGATCCCAGGGTCCTGGGATCCTGACCTGAACTGAAGGCAGACGCTTAACTGACTGAGACACCCAGGTGCCCCTAAGCTTCATCTTCTGCCTTGATTATCACGACAGCCTCTGAAGGGGTCTCTCTCCTAAAATAAGCTTCCACAGCACTCTGTACTTCCCCTTCTGTAACACTCATCACACTTATGACTTACTCAACATCTATATTCATCAACAAAATTAAGCTGTGTATCTGCCTGACTCATGATTATATCTCTAGCTGCTACCACTGCACCTAACCATAGGGTAGGCACTCAATAAATATTCATAAAAAAAAATTTTTTTTTTTGAGAGAGAGAGAGCATGTGTGCGAGTGAAGTGGCAGGGGGCGGGGAAGCAGAGGGAAAGGGATGGAGAGAATCATAAGCAGGCTTGAAGCCCAGTGTGGAGCCTGGATGTGGGGATCAATCTCATGACCCCGAGATCATGACCCGAGCCGAAATCAAGTCAGAAGCTTAACCGACTGGGCCACACAGGTGCCCCCCAAAAACACATTTTTTCAGAAAAATGTGCTGATTCCTGTCCTAGACTTTCTTGGAAATGGACCACAAAGTCCCCAGGACCTGACGAAAGTATTGAGAAATGCAGTTCAACATCAAAAACTCATCTGATGGCCAGAATAAAATTTGAAACACATCCATCTGGTCAGGTCACTCTCCTTTTCTCAATCCTTTGGTTCTCCATAATCAGAATAAAGTTCAGATATCTCCTCTGTCCCTATTTTTATTGCTAGAAAAACCAAGATACCCAGGAGGGGAGACAGGGCACAGGGGGTAAAGGATGGTGGATTGGGAACTCTGACCCAGCCCAAACCCGGGCTATAGGTACGCAAGAAGCAAGAGAAGGAATAAGGTTTATCTTGCCTGCCCTAAGCTGTGCAAGAAAGCACAGTTTGGAAGAGAGAAAGGTGGGGACTTCCTGGCACACCCCTAAAGCCTCACTCCTGCCCCAACTTACGCCTTCTTGATCTGGGCATCCTCTGAATTGCGAGTGATCTGGAGCACTGAGTAATAATCCTGGCCCATGGCCGGCTGGCAAGGCACTCAGTTGTATAATCCCGACTTGAAGGAGGGCTGTTAGTCTGCATTCTCTGGTTGCTCCTGACAACTGCACAGGGGCACTCTGGGAGTGGTAGTCCTTCCTGTCTAAGCAAACCACCCGCTCAGTTCCGCCTCACAGCAGAGCCAATAGAAGAATTAGAAGAATAGGGGCTGATTCTGTGACCCTGATAAAGGTCACTCAACTCAGAAACTCTAAACTCAGTTTTTAAGGAAAGTAGCAATTAGTTTTAATTAAAAGTTTTCAGAACAGGGGCGCCTGGGTGGGACAGTCGGTTGAGGGTCCGACTCTTGGTTTCAGCTCAGGTCATATCTCAGGGTCGGGAAATTGAGCCCCGCTGGGGCTCCAGGTTCAGTGCGGAGTCAGAGTTGGCTTGAGACTCTTTCTCCCTCTCGCTCTGCCCCTCCACCCCCCAACACTCTCTCTCTCAAAAATAAATAAAATCTTTTTAAAAAAAACTTTTCAGAACAAATGCATTTAGCTGACTTTTAAAATGCGTTTTAAATTTTAGAATAGTTTTAGATTTTCAGAAAAGTTGGGAAGACAGTACAGAATTCCCATATACCCCACACCCAGTTTCCTGTATTATTAATGGCTTACGTGAGTCAGGTATATTTGTCACAAATAACAACCAATATTGATACATCAAGGGTTTTTTTTAATGTTCAACTTAGTGATATTTATTATTAAGTTTTATTTTAATTCCAGTATAGCTAACATGCAGTATTATATTAGTTTCAGGTGTACAATACAGTGATTCAACAATTCCATACATCACCTGGTGCTTATCACAATTAAGTGTACTCCTTAATCTCCATCACCTGTTTCACCCATCCCTCCACCCACCTCCCCTTTGGTAACCATCAGTTTGTTCTCTATAGTTGTTATTTCCTCCAGATACCTCATTTATAATGGAAGTACACACTTTATTCAGATTTCCTAGTTTTTAACTAATGTCTTTTTTTCTGTTCCAAGATCCCAAACAGGATACCACATTACATTTAGTTGTCATGTTTCCTTAGGCTTCTCCTGGCTAAAACTGTTTGTCAAACTTTTCTTGTTTTTTGATGACTCTGATAGTTTAAGGAGGACTGGTCACATATTCTGTACAGTCTCTCAGTGGGATTTGTTTGATGTTTTTCTTATGATTAGACTGAGGTTAGGGGCTTCTGGAAGGAAGACCACAGAGGTGAAATGCCATTCTCATTCCATCCTATCAACATGGCATCCTGGTGATGTTGACCTTCACCTGCTAAGGTAGGTGTTTGTCAGGTTTCTCTCCACTGTAAAGTTACTTTTGTTTCCTCCTTTCTGGATTGTACTCCTTGGAAGAAAATTATTTCATGGCCCACCCTTAAAGATTGGGGAATTCTGCTCTACCTCCTTGAGGGCAGAAGAGCCCTGTTTTCCACATCCCACATCCAATCAGTCACTAAGCTTGGTCCATTTTACCTCTTAGGCACCTCTCAAGCCTCTTCCTCCTCAGAGCCATGGTCTTGCTTTGGCTTTCACCTTTCAGCAAAGCCACTCCAACTTCTCACTATCCTGCCCACCTTGCCTCTACCCTGCCAAGACCATACTCCACATTGCCCAAAGTTAATCCAAACTGCTGACCCTGGCACACAGGCATTTGGTGATCTGCTCCCGCCCTACCTACCCTAATCTCTCACCCCAGGGCACACCAACCCCCACTTTTCCTTGCTTCTCAGAATGCTTGAGCATGAAAAAGCATGCTTGCAATTGCTCCAACTAACCCTTCTCATTCACCTCCGGGGCTACCTCTCCTCAGACCCTCCAGACTACACACACCACTGACCCTGACTTTGACCAAGCTAACCTTATTTTGTTTTTTTTTTTATTAAGAAGTTTATACGCACAAAAAAGCAGCATTAGAACATTCCTTATTGAAGAAATATTGCCCCTGTGTGCCCCTCTCTACCTGCTTAGTATTCTTTTGTTTTTATTTGTTTCACTACTATGCATCTCCTGTGGTGTACTTCTGTGCTTGTAAATATTTAACCAGCTCACCAGAAGGAAAAAAACAGTCCTTATGTGTAGCACTTGCCAATTTCTCTCAAGCTGTTACAGCCAGCTCCAACACACTACTGCATGTATTCTGAACATATTTATGTTTTCATGGTTTTGAACTTTATATAAATGGAATCAGTTATGCAAATGGCATGTATTTGTGTGTGTCTTATTTGCACAGAGGCTGTATAGCATTCTCTGTTGATGCTGAACATTTGGGTATGTGCATCAACTTTGCAAGGTAATGTGAGTTTTCTGATGTGGTTATTCTAAATTACGATGGCAAAACAGCAGTGTCTGAGAGGTCCCTTTTGCTTTACATCCTCACCAATTCTTGATGTCAAGTTTTTAATTTTCTTTTAAAGTACATGTATACATATATACAAATACACATATACGTGTGTGTGTGTACATATTTTAAGTAGGCTCCATGCCCAACATGGAGCTTGACCTCACAACCCTGAGATTAAGAATTGCATGCTTTACCCACTGAACCAGCCAGGCACCACTGATGTCAATTTTTTTTATAACTTTTTTTTTTTTTGAGATTTATTTATTCCTAAGAGACAGAGAGAGAGAGAGGGGCAGAGGGAGAAGCAGGCTCCCTACTGAGCAGGGAGCCTGATGCGGGACTCGATCCCAGGACCCTGGGATCATGACCTGAGCCGAAGGCAGATGCTTAACCAACCGAGTCACCCAGGCGCCCTGATGTCAAATTTTTAAATGTTTGCCAATATAGATATGAAACAGCATCTCACTGCAGACTTTGATTTGTATTTTTTTTGTTGAGCGTCTTTTCATGTTTATTGTCCATTTGTTTTTCATTTTGAAATGCCTATGTATGTCTTTTCCCATTTTTCTTTTTTTTTTTTTAAAGATTTTACTTATTTGTCAGAGAGAGAGAGAGAGAGCGCAAGCACAAGGAGGGGGAGCAGCAGGAATAGAGAGAAGCAGGTTCCCCGCGGAGCAGGGAGCCCGACGCGGGACTCGATCCCAGGACCCTGGGATCATGACCTGAGCCGAAGGCAGACGCTTAACCGACTGAGCCACTTAGGCGCCCCTCTTTTGACCATTTTTCTACTGGGCTGTGGTGTGTGTGTGTGTGTGTGTGTGTGTGTGTGTGTGTGTGTGTTTGTGTGAGAGAGAGAGAGAGGAGAAAGAGAGAGAGAGAGAGACTCTTCATGTTTTATATTTCTTTGTTGAAAATATGTAAAATACAAACCCCTTTCACTTTGGAGCTTGTGTTTTTACCCTTTTTTAATGGGGTAGAACTTACCAATCTTTGCCTTTTTGATTATACTTTTTGTGTCTAGTTTAAGAAATATTCTCTGTAGAGGGTCATAAAGATCTTCACCTATATTTTCTTCTGAGAGTCCATTTCACTCTTAAACCTTTAATCCACGTAGAACTTTTTTTTTTATATGGTACAAGGTAGCATCATTTTCTTATTTTTGAGATCCTATTGTCCCAGAACCATTTATTTAACAGTCCTTTGTTCCCCTACCAATCTATATTGACTGCTGTGTTACATACAAAGTTTCCATATATGCATGGGTTTATATCTGGACTACTGTTCCACTGGTCTTTCCCTGGGCCAATGCCACACTATAACCCTTCCTTTTCTCCTCCTCCTCCTTCTTCGGGAGCATCTTTTCTAAGTACTACTCCTTTACTCCTCTCAAATGTAAATGTGTTTTTTTTTTAAGATTTTATTTATTTATTTGACAGAGACAGAGCGAGAGCAGTGGAACACAAGCAGGGGGAGTGGGAGAGGGAGAAGCAGGCTTCCCGCGGAGCAGGGAGCCCGATGTGGGACTTATCCCAGGAGCCTGGGATCATGACCTGAGCCGAAGGCAGATGCTTAATGACTGAGCCACCCAGGTGCCCTGTAAACGTGTTCTTAAGAAAGGATCTAGGGGCACCTGGATGGCTCAGTGGGTTAAATGTCTGACTCTTAATTTTGGCTCAGGTTTTGATCTTGGGATCCTGAGATCGAGCCCTGAGTTGGGGTCCACCCTGGACATGGAGCCTGCTTAAGATTCTCTCTCTCGGGGCACCTGGGTGGCTCAGTCAGTTAAGCGGCTGCCTTCGGCTCGGGTCGTGATCCCAGGGTCCTGGGTTCGAGCCCCACATCGGGCTCCCTGCTGAGCAGGGAGCCTGCTTCTCCCCTGCCTGCCGTTCCCCCTGCTTGTGCTTGCTCTCTGTCTCTCTCTCTCTCGTTCTGTGTCAAATAAATTAATAAAAAATATTAAAAAAAAAAGATTCTCTCTCTCTCGGGGCACCTGGGTGGTCCAGTCAGTTAAGCGTCCAACTCTTGGTTTTGGCTCAGATTGTGATCTCAGGTGGTGAGATGGAGTCCTGAGTTGGGCTTGAAACTTGAATTTCTCTCTCCCTCTCCCTCCCCAACCCCCGTCTAAAATAAATAAATACATCTTTAAAAAAATTATCTCTCTCCCCATCTCCCTCTCTCCCCTCTTAAAAAAAAGAGAGAGAGAGAGAAAAGAAAGATCTAATGTCAGTCAGATGGGGAAAGAAGAGGGCTACGTTTTAAACCTCAACTCTGTGAATGAAAATGCTGGGTCCCTTGATGGCATTTCAGATACTAGTGACTTAGATATTTAAGAACTTTCCTGGGTCCTCTGAAACCACACCATTATAGAGGAAGACCTGCTGTATTTTTTTAAGATTTTATTTATTTATTTGACAGAGAGAGAGATAGCGAGAGCAGGAACACAAGCAGGGGGAGTGGGAGAGGGAGAGCAGGCTTCCCGCCGAGGAGGGAGCCCGATGTGGGACTCGATCTCAGGACCCTGGGATCATGACCTGAGCCGAAGGCAGACGCTTAACGACTGAGCCACCCAGGCACCCCGAGGAAGACCTGCTTTAAAGTAGCTATTTCATATTATTTGAGGCCTACTTTGGGTATATTTGGAGGAGTTAAAACACACTTCTGGAGTTGGGCCAAATGACAGAGAACTCAATTAGAGCTAAGAAGTAAACTGCAGGTTTAGGGTAAGTTGAGTGGCCAGCCAGGAAAACCAGCCCCACCCGGGGCCGATGGAACCCTCTTTGGCTGTCCTGGGCACAGAGAGAAGCCAGCTGACCTTCTGGAGTGGACGGTGATGGACGTGGTTGAGTATTTCACCGAGGCTGGCTTCCCCGAGCAGGCAACAGTTTTTCAAGAGCAGGAAATCAATGACCAGTCTTTACTGCTCATGGAGCGCACTGATATGCTGACTGGCCTGTCCATCCACCTGGGTACTACATCAAGGTGCTGCAGCAAGGCCACTTTGAGGACCCTGATGGCTTTCTAGGCTGAGCACCCAGCCTTCCCCCCTGCCCCAACCCATTCCAGCCCCCATCTACCCAAGACCCCCCGAGTCTAGGAGCTAGAGGGGGACACCCTCAGCCCTCATAACATATTCCAGTGAGGGGCTTTCCTACTCATCTCTTCCCTGTGTTTCCCCAGCATACACACATTTGGCCCCCAGCACATCCTGTACTCCTTGATACGAGGAGTGTGGGGTGGGACAGGGCCTGCTCATTGCACCCCAGGAGGCCAACCCCTCCAAGTCTAGGACATTTTGGGGGGAAAATGGGGGCTTCCCATCTCCCCTAGATCCTCTTCAGTTCAGCCAGATGTTTCCTATGTTTTGTTCTGCTTGTTCATTTTGGTGGGTGGCCTTTCCTCTCTCCCCCACCACCCATGCCCTAACTGGGTCTGCCCCCGGCCTCCAGCCCCTGGGAGCAGCTGGAGTGGGGTCCCTGTGTCTTCCCTAACCCTCTCCTTTCTTTCTGTTGGTTGTCACTCCAGCTGGCTGTATTGCTTTTTAATATTGTACTGAAGGTTTTTGAAATAAAGTTTAAAAAAAAAGTTGAGTGGTCAGAAAGCAACCATTATCTTGAGGCTGCTGTGCCCCCATTTGTGTGACCGAAGGAAGTTTACTTAATGGCCCCAAGTCCGTTTCCTTGAACAAATGGGATTATTAACATAAACCCCACCACAGGGCAGGTGTGAAAATATTAAACACAATTATACAAAAGCATGTATATCACATAGAAAATGCTTCCTTAGCATTGAGGCAGTAGAGTCAGAGCCCAAGTTCCAAATCCTGTCTGTTACCTACTAGTTTTATGACCTTAAAAAATGATTTCTTAGCCACAGTTGCCTATTTGTTAAGAGAAAATATGGCATTATTTTCTATTTTTTGCATTTCTGAGCTTTCTTGTGGGTTTTAATTTGCATTTACCTCAGATAGAGTCTCCTTGTTCCTGGGTTCACCAGAGCTATCTAGACAAATGACTGATTCCAGGACTGAGATGGGAAAGTATAAGATGAAACGTGAATATCTTGTGGTATCAGAAAATATGGAAGCACTAAAAGAATGCTATTAACATGTCAAAAGGACATAAGATCCGGATGCCTGGGTGATTCAGTCGGTTAAGGGTCTGCCTTGGGCTCAGGTCATGATCCCAGGGTCCTGGGGTAGAGTCCCACGTCAGGCTCCCTATTCAGCAGAGTCGGCTTCTCCCTCTCCCTCTGCCCCTTGCCCTGCTAATGCTCTCTCTCGCTGTCTCTCTCAAATAAAGAAAATCTTAAAAAAGAAAAATTAAGAATAAAAATATAAAATATATCCACAAAGAGACGTGTTCAAGAAAAAGAAATCTTTACTCTGCAAGGCTATTGTGAGGACTGTGCCTGGCCCGGAGCATATGCTCACTGGCGGATGCCACTGCCAGTTTCCAGATCTGAGAAATAGATGCCCTTCTCACAAGAAGTCACCAGGGGGCATCTGAAAGCCAAGAAACAAAGTCCAGCTTGCCTGAGCCTGTACTGCTGCGATGGGGGTTGTCTACCTTTCCCTACCCAGAATGCACTCCTCCACCCAAAAGGGAAAAAAAAGCTTTGTCTGCTAACACTGGGGAGAATCCATCCACAGCAGACCAGGCTGTGGGCCACCTGAGAGCTAGCCTGTGTCCTTCTGTTTGGATCTGGATTTCAGGGCAGCTGTCAAGGGTCACTGCATCCATTATAACCAGGCCTATCAACTCTGGAGACCTGGGAAAAGGGGCTTATGGATGTGATGGCAGTGAAGAGCAAGTCCTGGAAGAGGAACTCACAGACATACCTGCTGTGTGAACTCAGCCATCTCCTCCTTCATCCTGTCTTCTTCATCTGACTTCTTAGAGGTTCTCTCCAGACCTCCTCGGATCCAGTGTTTCCGAGGTCTGCAATATGTCCCTTTGGGTCTACCTGACCTTATCACAAATCACTCCTTAAATGGAACTGGTCTAGTCCCAGAGGTCTCAGGACCATGTGGCGTAGTGGAAGGCACAGGTCTTCGAGACAGACTAAGCAAGGTCCAAATCAAGGGTCTGGTACTTAATTTCTCGAACCTCAGTTTCCTTATCTATAAAACAAAATAATTCCATTTCCTTTTTAAGAGTGTTGTTGGGATTAAATATATAAATATAGTCCCTAGTATAGCATAGATGCCCAGTAATATTCAATGACTAACAGTATTTTATTTTCTCAATTTAGGCATATACAACAGGTAGAAAAAAATGGATTTAAAATTAAGATAAACTGTGTTAAAGTTTCTGTTCCCTATGACCCTTGGCCAATCAATTCATCTGAGTCTCACTATCTGCATGTCATAGTGAGGTTATAAACATTACGTGAGAATATACCTTTAAGACTGCTGCGAATCATACTGTTACACCAGCCAGAAATTGACTTCTTCCCTTAAATAAATCCAGACTTTAGCCTACATTGCTCAGCTCAAGTGTTGTATCCTCCAAGAAACCCTTTCTCTAGTGATCTCTAAAATATAAAACTCTGGAAAGTGTTAAAAAGAATGATGAAGGTCTAAATGTACTGAGAAAGAACTCAGAGATTCTAAGTGAAAATAAAACACGGAGTACATGCATTATGACTCCAGTTTTATATCTAGGGGAAAAAAGAGGTGACCATGTTATATCCTTGCTTAAAACTCTTCCGTGGGTTTCTTGCCAACCAAATGAAATTCAGGCTCCTTACCTGGTACTCAAGCCCCTTCACTATTTGGGCCCTGCCAACCTCTCCAGTCTCATCTTCTACCGACCAGCCTCACCATCCTATGAGCACTGGGTTCCTGCTATGACTTAAAATGCCCTTTACTATCTCTTCCTCTAGGTCTCAAACTGTAGCATGCATCAGAATCACCTGGCCAGCTCTACCCAGAGAATTTCTGATTTCGGGCTGAGGTGGGGCCTAGGAATTTCTATTTCTAACAAGTTCCCAGGTGATACTGATACGGCTGTTAAGGGACCACACTCGGATGGCCACTGCTGTTACAATGATAGGATTCAACTTTATCACCTGTACATGGACCAGTCAACCATACCACTTTGCCTAGGACTGAAAGTCCCATGTAGCAGAAAACCCCTCAGTCCAAGGAAAACTGAGACAGCTGGCTTCTCTACCTGTATAAGAATCTTTCCCAGATTGCTGCTTAAGGGATAGTTTCTGCTAACAAGTAGTCTTTCTCTATGGCCAGGCCAACAGGAAATGCCTGAGAAAGGAGTTCCATCAACTTGAATGGCTTTTTGCTGGAGTAAGATTATTTAACAAAGTTTTTCAAATTCAAACTCCAAATACATTCTCTTTATTTCCTTCAAAGAACAAGCTTTAGTCCTCTGATCCTTGTAAACACTTAACACAATGGTATGAGATCAAACTGTAAGCATCCATACCCTTGCCCTGTGCTGTTGGGGTGAGTGTATATAGGGAGCATGTGTGAGCTTCTTCTTCAGTTCACAGGTCTTGTCATGGAATGATACTTCCACATGGGCCAATGCAGCTGATTTTCTGTGACTTCCAAAGGGTGCCCTAAAGAATAAGGGGACACGGTCCTTGAGAAGGACTGATGATTATTTTGCTCTTTGTCGATTAGGGCCAATTTTTTTCTTTAACTGGGAATCCTTTTCCAAGGAGTCAGAGATCAGAGAGCTGATAGCGTCGCACAAGACCATCTCGACAGCATGTGTAGATCTGCTTCTCCCACGTGGCTACCTGGAACACAAGAGTTCACAGCTCAAAGGAAGCCTGGGAGTCTTCCATTCCAAAAAGATAGAGCCTTGTCATTGATCCCCATTAACACAAGTGAGTCTAAGAAGCTCTGCTGACTCCAAAGACAAGAGAAGAATTAGATCCATGATAGGTACAGCCGGCTAGGATCCACGGCACTTATGAGTCCAGAACAGAGAAACTAATTAGCCAAGTTGACAGCAGGCCCATTAGTGTGGTGCATAGCTGAGGGCAGAGGGTCTGGACCTGGGAAAGGAGATGATCCACAGATGGGCTGGCGTATCCCTGAACCTTGTAAAATTATATTCAAAGAAGTTCTCAGTATGTGCCTGTCTGAGGAGGATTTTGTCGACTTCTCAGAGAAGTCTGAGGCCGCAGCTGCGTGGAGGAGCGAGGCACGTGCTGGGGCTGCGGTGGGTGGCAACGAGACTACGCAGCTCCCAGTGGGGAGGCTCCACTGCCACTGCCACCTTGCTTGGTGAGCACATGGTGTCAGTAGGCTGCCAGTACCATGGCTGGCCCAGCGTGGCATCACCCCCTCCCAAGACTCCTGGAGTTTCTGAATCTCCTCTCCGGGATGGCGGGGGGTGGCAGGGGAGCTGGCATGCTGGCATTTTAGGCTGTGTGGGAGCCCACGTCTTCACTTATGCTGACTACGACCACTTCTTTGAAGATGTGCACCCTCTCGTCCCTGCCAAAATGATCACCGCTGTGGAGCCCCGCTTTCCACTTTTGGGCTGATTGGCTACTGTGCCCCAATCTGGGAAAGCTGCTGTAGACTTGCCATGTTTGTCATCATCCTACTCTTGGTTTTTGTTACAGAAGCTGTTACAGTGGTTTTGGGATATATTTACAGAGCAAAGGTGGAAAAATGAGGTTGATCAGAGCATTCAGAAAGTGTGTAAGACCTACAGTGGAACCAACACTACAATGGAACCAACTAGTCAGACTGGAATAATAGGAACTGGTTCAAAGAAACCAAAAACCACAGTGTCCCTCTTAGCTGCAGCAGACAGCCAGCCAGCAGCTATCACGGCAGGCTGGCCCACTCCTCTGACCTCCATACGGAGGGATGTGAAGCTCTAGGGGTGAAGAAGCGATCAAAAGTCACGGTGCATGTTATCTGGGCAGTGCTGGAAGGTGCAGCTCTTCAGCTGCTAGACATGCTGCGTGCATGCAGCACAGTATGCAGGAGTAGAGGTCCTGCTTCTGAGCTCCTCGCCACCGGTGGAACCTAGGCATGGGAGAAAATGCAACTCGGAGCTTTTTAGTCTTGTTCTGATTTGGAAGGTGAATCAAGCAGGTTTACTTTTAGTAGTTAAACCACACATTACACAGGTGTTGGACAGAGAAGCTTGGCTCTTCATGTACCCACCTATGATTTTCTTTTCCCTTCTCCTCTCTGACTCTCACGTCTCTAAGTTTTTAGGTACGAAAGTGAATGTTCTCGTTTCAGAACCATCTGTGAGTTGTGTAGTGTGGGAGAATGACAGGAGGACCTGGGCCTGCTTCTGTTACCTCCCTGCAGTAATAGGACTGCTGCCAAAGTATCACTGGGTCTTTTCAGTCTTCACAACGGAGAACTCTTGGCCAAGGGATTTTGGGGAGAGAAGGGGGAAGCCAGCTAAGGTTAAAGTTAATACCAGATGGCGTCCCTCATCAGTGTCCTTTTAAAAAACATATATTGTAGTTCAATAACATAGCACTGTACAAAATGACCAAAATAGTTCATCTTCAAAATCAGACTGATTTTTGAAAAGTAGAGGTTTTTAATCAAAACTGGCTTTATAGGGGCACCTGGGTGGCTCAGTTGTAAAGCATCTGCCTTCGGCTCAGGTCACGATCCCAGGGTCCTGGGATCAAGCCCCGCATCGGGTTCCCTGCTCGCCGGGAAGCCTGCTTCTCCCTCTCCCACTCTCCCTGCTTGTGTTCCCGCTCTGTCAAAAAAAAAAAAAAAAAAAAAAATCTTTTTATAAAAAGTAGCACATATGTTATGTCCCTATAGAGCCAGTTTTTTCTTTTTTAAGATTTTATTTATTTATTTGACAGAGAAAGACACACAGAGAGAGCGAGCACAAGCAGGGGGAGTGGGAGAGGGAGAAGCAGTCTTCTCGCTGAGCAGGGAGCCCAATGCGGGGCTCGATCCCAGGACCCTGGGATCATGACCTGAGCCGAAGGCAGACGCTTAACGACTGAGCCACCCAGGCACCCCACATATGTGCTATTTTTTAAAAACAATATGCGTGTGTGGGTATGTTGTTGTATGATTGAGCCCACTCATCATAAATCTAAACTCATTAGGATTAATGTACTCATGCAGACTAACAAAATAGTATGTAGATGAGAACTCAGTTCTAAATAGAAAAACCTAATTCAGTGAAGTCTGTATCATCCCTCAAACAAAAAAAGAAAAGAAAAAGCCTGGGACTCAAAGGTTAAGAACCACTAATTTAGTGGAAGAAGCATGAATTCTGGAGGTAGCTTCATCTCAGGTTTGCTAATGTGTACCTAGGTGACGTAGGGCAACTTTCTCAACCACTCTGGACTCCAGTTTCCTCACTTATAAAATGAAAATGGTATGTTAATTCACAATATAGAACACTACACAGGAATTTTTAAAAATGAAGATCTATATGCATTTATCTGAAAAGAGCTCTAAGATGTTAATAAAAAAGTCATAGAACAATACAATACATATAGAATGATTTCAGTTATGCACAAACTAAAGATAAAACTATAGTTACCTAAATACATAAACACAAAGATGTAAGTGCAAATTCTGCAAAAACAGTCTTGAAAAATACATGTTGAACTGTTAATGCTAGTTACTTCTAGAAAGAAGAATGGACCTAAAAAGGTCTTAAAGGGGACCTTAAAGTCTGTATGATTTTGTATTGTTTGAATTTTTATAGGTATGTATTAACTGTATAACTTTTACATTATAAAAACAATATAAATAATAATACCTATACCTCAAGAACAGTAACAACAATGAAATAAGATGATACATGTAAAACATCCAGCACGATGTCTAGTCAATAAATATTACTTCCCCTTTTGTTTTTCTCTTTCTAATCAAATGAGATAACCAGTCTTGAACTTTAAATAATAATAATGACAGCTAATCTTTGTAGAAGACTTAAAATTTACAACTATTTTTCACATACATTATCTCCCTAATACTTTCATTTTACAGAATAACTGACAGACTAAGGAGGTAAAATGATTTTTCAAGTTTCTAGAGCTAAAAAGTGGTGAAATCACTGACTCAAAATTCTCACTTCCTTTTATCACATCCATAAGTATTTTACCATCCAGAATGCCCACAAAGTAGCTGGATTCAGTCCCCTCAAAAGTCCTAGATCTCAGGTGAGAATCACCCAGGTGCCTCTCAGGCCTGTACCTTGAACACAGGGTCACAGTCGGCCCCAGTGAGCTCAATGACATAGTCTAGGTCTTGCTGGACAATGAAACAGCTTCCATCACCTAAAAGTCAAAAAGAAAAATTTAGATAACTAAAGAAAAAGCTGCACGCAAAGAGGCTTAAAAAAAAAAAATCAGTATTTTAGTTTATTTCTGTACATCACAAGCCTAAAGAAGATCATCCTAAGACCCAAAATGGCAAACAGGTCTCATTATGTGGGTCAGATATGAGGATCTACAGTGGCTGCCTAGAATGCTGGGTTAGAGGATTTGAAGTATAAGTACAAGCTCAGTGGGAAGAAGGGCTGTCTTTGATTAGCAATACCTGACAAGGGCACGGAGCAAGCAACTGCAGGCTTATACATCTGATTGCAAACTTACCCTGGACAATGATTTTTAACAGGGAATTTTATATATAAATATTTTAATGTGCTCCCAAATTACTCTTCAATCTATAAACTTGACCAGATACATGAGGCAAAGGAGCAAAGTTGTTACACCAAGAAAATAGAAGTATATTTATTTTTTTTTAAAGATTTTATTTATTTATTTGAGAGAGAGAGAGACAGAGAGAGAGGGAACACAAGCAGGGGGAGTGGGAGAGGGAGAAGCAGGCTTCCTGCGGAGCAGGGAGCCCGATGTGGGGCTCGATCCCAGGACCCTGGGATCACAACCTGAGCCAAAGGCAGACGCTTAACGACTGAGCCACCTGGGCGCCCCAAAAGTATATTTATTTTTAAACTTAGTTTTCTTAAAAGACCATGTACAGATGAGACTAGGGATGATCTGTAAACTGCTGAATAAGGTAATTTTTTTTGTTATTGTTTTACTTAATATAAAAATAGTACATGCTAATTGAAGAAAACTTTAAAAACAAAGAAACAGAAGTAAAAAAAAAAATCACTCAATCTACCACTCAAAGATAACTACTGTTAACATTTTTATATATTTTTCCAATCCTTTTTGTACAGATTTTTATTTTACATGGTTGAGAGCATACTGCATAAAAGAATATCTTTATGCATAAAGTTTTTCTGTATCAACATTGTGACTCTGTAAAGAATCCAGGAAAAAAATTTTTTAATTAACTTTTCCAAGCTTTTTAAAATTTGAAAAACTGCTGTCAAAAACAACTGTTTATTTATTTATTTATTATCTTTAAAGATTTTACTTATTTATTTGAGAAAGAGAGAATGAGAGACAGAGAGCACGAGAGGGAAGAGGGTCAGGGGGAGAAGCAGACTCTCCGCTGAGCAGGGAGCCCGATGTGGGACTCGATCCCGGCACTCCGGGATCATGACCTGAGCTGAAGGCAGCCGTTTAACCAACTGAGCCACCCAGGCGCCCAAAAACAACTGTTAATTAATTTTATCTGTTAATCTGTACCCCAACCAGCAGCATACAGGAAGACCTTATCCTTTCTTGTATTATTATTAAAAATCATTTTTTAATTTAAATTGTACTTTATTAAGTAATCGGTACACTCATCATGGGGCTCAAACTCACAACCCAAGATCAAGTGTTGCACATTCTACCAACTGAGCCAGCCAGGCACCCCAAAAATCATCTTTTAAATAAAAGAATTATTATTTTTTAGAAATACTTATATAAATATTGACAGGTGAAATAATACAATGTCTGTGATATGTTTCAAAATATTACAACGGTTGGGGATTATAAGGGAATGTGTAAAACAAGATGAAACAGGATTAGCTATAAATTGGTAATAGTTGAAGCCAGATGATGGGTATATCAGGTTCGTCATGCTATTCTCTCTACCTTTGTATCTCTTTGACAATTTCCATAATAAATTTTCAAAATTGTTTAATCTGGTAATTTCAATCTCCTCTCTAGTGAAAGAGTTCCAAAGGACCTCAAAGATCATCTATATCCAACTTCTAAACTAGTACTAAATTCCCTTCACAACACCTTGCAGAGCAGCCAACCAGTCAGTCTATGCTTCTCCATCCTGAGTTAGTAGTGCTCTCTAAAATGCCAGCTCTCTCTTACTTACTTTCAACTGAAATGTAGCTCCTGGTAACTTTCTTTTATTGGTCTTAGTTTCATCCTCTGAAAACAGTTATATTACAATGAATAAGGCACAGTCACTACTTTCAAGGAGTCTGGACTGGAGGGAGATACAAACAATCACAGTGTAGAGTGATAAACACTATATGATAAATACAATATGCCAAAGAATCATGGAGGACCATGCCCCTAGCCTCGCCACAGATCATGCATTTAAACCTATGTTTATTTATTTTTAGAGAGAGGGCATGAATGGGGGAGTAGGGGTGAGATGTGGGGATAGGGGCAGAGGGAGAATCTTTTTTTTTTTTTTTTAAGGCGGGGAGGGAGAGAGGGAGAGGGAATCTCAAGCAGGCTCCACGCCCAGCATGGAGTCCAACACGGGGCTCATTCTCACAACCCCAAGATCATGACCTGAGCCGAAATCAAGAGTCACACACTCAACTGAGCCACCCAGGCGTCCCACAAGACAGAATCTTAAGTAGGCTCCACACAGCATGGAGCCTGACGCGAGGCTCAATCTCATGACCCTGAGATCACAACCTGAGTGAAATCAAGAGTCAGATGCTTAACAGACTGAACCACCCAGGCACCCCTAACTCTATGTTTAAATGAACTACAGGAAGCCATTGTTGTCAAGGGGCCCCTGGACCCACCTTGGCTAGCAATGAATCCATCTCTGAAACTCAGGAGGGATAGAACTGGTGCTCCTGATCTGTGGATGACTTGTACTGGAGCCCTGGAATTCAAAGAAAAAGGGGCAATTGTCCTTTTTTTCTTCAAGCAACACTTGACTATATTCAACATATAGTACTAACCACACAAAAGCAAACAGGACAAATGTGGACAGAGATTAAACATTCATATAGTTTCTTTCCTGGCAAGATCCTTAAATAGTAGATCCAGGAAATCGCTCAAAACCACCTTGGAGTGAAGTGAATATAAACATGTCTCTAATTAAACAGGTCATTGAGCTGAATGAACTAAGTCAATTGTTTTGCTTACAGACAGAATTAAGACAGTTGTGAGAGTAAAAAAAAGACAGTTGTGAGAGTTAAAAAAAGACAGTTGTGAGATATTACAAATGTCAGGACTCTTTGAAATGAAAGAGAAAGGTGAGTGAGAATCAATTTAATATATATGTAAAGCTGATTTTCTTTCTTTTTTTTTAATCTTAAGTAGGCTCTATACCCAATGTGGGGCTCAAACTCATGACCCCAAGATCAAGAGTTGTACACTCCACCAACTGAGCCAGCCAGGTGCCCCTGTAAGGCTGATTTTCTTCTTCTTCTTCTTTTTTTCTTTAATATTTTATTTATTTCTTTGAGAGAGAGAGAGCATGAGCAGGGGGAGCGAAAGAGGGAGAAGCAGACTCCCCATTGAGTAGGGAGCCCAACATGGGGCTCGATCCCAGGACCCCAGGATCATGACCTGAGCCGAAGGCAGATGCTTAACTGATTGAGCCACCCAGGCGACCCGGCTGATTTTCTAACAGCGATCAGAGATTCCCTGAATCTCCACAGAATCAAAGAACAAAAGTAAAGTAATTTAAATTATGGAAGAAATGCTAATAAGCTAGTCACCCTTCACTGGAATTTTTTTTTTTAAAGATTTTATTTATGTGACAGAGAGAGACAGCAAAAGAGGGAACACAAGCAGGGGGAGTGGGAGAGGGAGAAGCGGGCTCCCAGGACTTGATCCCAGGACCCTGGGATCATGACCTGAGCCGAAGGCAGACGCTTAACAACAGAGCCATCCAGGCACCCCCTCACTGGAATTTCTTTACTGCTCTTGGAATAAAGTCCAAACTCCTTCGGATATTACCCACGTTCCTTTCCTGTCTGGCATCACTTCTCACTGCTACCCTGTCTGCAGGATATGTATTTGTCATATTGAACTACACAAGGATCCCTGAAAGTGCCATACTTCCACACGTTTTCACGCTTCTCTATACGCTCTTCTACCTAGGGCAGACACCTCTCTTCATTTGGTAACTTCCTACTGGACAAGATCCAATTAAAGCTTCATTTCCTTGGAGAAGCAGTCCCACCTTCTTTCTTTTTCTCAGTGCTTTCTCAAATTCCTGTGTAGAGCCCTGTCAGCCCACCAATCACACTGTATCACCAACATCTTTTACTTGCCCATCTTTACTGTTAGACTCCAAGTGCCTCAAAGGCAGAATCTGTATCTTTTATTTCTGCTTTTTAGTGCCCTACACAATGTCTGGTGCCCACAAAAGCCATTCAATAAATGTCAAGTGAACAAAAGAAAGGAAATGGAAGGAGGAAGGGACAGAATTGGAGAAATAGTTAAATCCTGGGATGGAGAGGTTGTGTGATTCTCTCTGGGTATCTTTAAGACCAGAATAAAGCCTGTTGCAGACAGGTTATGATCAAAGCCAAACAAAGAAACACAGCTGGCTTACTTGAACTAAAAATGATCAATCTTAGGCCAACCCAGATTTAATACCACTGAGAAAATTACTGAGCTCCTTAAAATTAAAAGTTCTATACAATCAGTTTAAGTGAAATATTAGTTCATTATTTAAGCTTAGATTCCAAAGTCATCACTACAATAGGACAATCATGACAGCATGAATCAAATTACCTTTTAATACGATTCCAGGAATAATAAGAACAATCAGACAACTCACACCGGAAAACCTTTATAAATGGAAAAATATACCCTTGATTCAACAGTCATCTACATGCCATGCTAAATCACTGTTAAAGCTAATAAAAATTTCCACTCTGTAGAAGACCTGCATCATGTAAATGAATGGTGACTCACCTTGGACTCCTCACGTCCAGCTGATAAATGTTTCCATCCTGTGTCCCAGCCAACAGTAAGAAGCCAGAGAGAAAAGTGCAGCAGTTGAAGGCATCTGAGCCAACAAAGAGGAACACCTGGAAACAAGCAGGAGCCAAAACTGCTGCTTAAAGATTAATTTGTTTTCAGAAATAAACAGGCACCAAAAAAGAGAAAACTTTCCTATTTTTAGAGACATTTTCTTTCTTCTCCCTTTAAGCACTCTGCATCTAAACAAAGTACTCAGCAACGACTGAGAAGGAAGCCCTTCTAGGAATTTGGGGACCTGAGGTTCCCCAAGGACTTCGGCAGTGTATGTACGACCACTCCCAGAAGAGGCGGCAGTTTTCAGACTACTGCCCTTAACACATTGACTCACAGGACCCTCAGTACCCAACATCTTTCTCCTCCCACTTCTCATTACAACCCTCCATTTGAGAAACACTTGCAATTCACACATTTAAATTTTGTTTCATGTCACTGCTGACAACCTTTTGAAGGGAGACTCTATGTAGGAAAATAAACAAGCTTAAATAAAGTGGCAATTTGAAGAATTAGAATTCTCCCCACTTGCCTGAAAAAAAGGAATTATCAGATTTTTATTTCTCTGTACTGTTAGCTCAATCTGATCATTTCTCCCTCAAATGTTCTAAAAAGGAAAGAAAAAAACCAAACCTGGCACAACAAAAACCTGTGATTTCCCTTCAGAAGGAAAAGCAGTGCAGAGGTGATACAATCAGAAAAAGTGATGTTCCTGGAATGTCATTTCTGAAAATGGAAACATCACTAGAATATGAAGTAACAAGGAGAAATGAAAATACAAAACCTGTGGCCAACCCAAATCATTAAAGTTGTCTGGGTGAGGTTGACAGGAGCTGGAAAGAAATTTTAAAAATCAAATCCCAGGGAACTCCGGGCTTAATGAAGAGTACAGTGTGCCCAGCAAAACCTCAGAGGCAGAAGGAAGAAAATTCAACTAATTTTTCCATTAAAGACATTCTGGTCACTAACTGATCAAGAGCCCTGAATGCATGAGTCCTTGACTCAGAATTTCTTCACGTTACCTTGGATATGGAAGGGAATCTACACAACCTCATTTTATACATAGCACACTAAGGCCCAGAGAGAAAGTGACTTAAAGGTCACAAAGAAGTAGAGCGTTTAATTCTCATCATATAACCCTACAAGGTGAGTACTACTATGCCCAGTTTAGTGATGAGGAAACTGAGGCTCAGAATGGTTAAGTAACCTATTAAATATCACAGCCATTGTGGAAGAGCTAGGACGTGAATGTCGTCCTTACTCCAAATTCCATGCTCTTAATCATTACACTCTATTACCCCTTACTCCTGCAGCTTTCTCAAAAGGTGAACACAGGGAGCAAGCAGAAATGTTTCCAAAACCGCTTTCCAAAAATCAGAGTGATCCAGGATGCCCCAGAGTTCAAAAGTCTTAGAGGAACCACTTGCCGGCTGCCTGCTCTGCAGTCCCAAGCACTGAAGTTTCTTATCCTCCCGTGCCAATAGCAGCATTTTCGACTCTGTTCCAACTTCCCGTTCACCTGCAGGACAGATAAACAATGGGTTAGGCTGATCAGCTGGCAGTGCCAGAAAGCATAGTTCCTGACAGCTGTTTACTGAATTCTTGTTAGTGATTAACTTACTAACTTAAAAAAAAACTTTTATTATGTTCTATATCCTGTTTGTATTGTTTATGTGACTGTACACATTTGTCAAAACTCACAGAACTGATAATTTAAAAGGGTGACTTTAGGGCACCTGGCTGGCCCAGTTGGTAGTGCATGCAACTCTTGATCTCAGGGCTATAAGTTCAAGCTCCATGTTAGGGATAACAGATTACTTAATAAAATAAGTTATTATTATTTTTTTAGATTTTATTTACTTATTTGAGAGAAAGAGTACACATGGGGAGGGGCAGAGGGAGAGGGAGACAGAATCTGAAGCAGACTCCACACTGAGCACAGAGCCCAACACAGGGCTTGATCCCACAACCGCAAGATCATGACCTGAGCAGAAACCAAGAGTCAGATGGTCAACTGACTGAGCCACCCAGGTGCCTCTAAATAAGTTAATTAAAAACAAATAATAAAATAAAATAAAAAGGGTAACTTTTACTACATTAAGTCCTTTGCAATGTGACATGATACCGTATTAGGAGCAGGGGTACAATGTTGAACAAAACAGTCTCTGACCTCAAGGCTCTTACAGTCTGGAGTAAATGAAATTTATTCATTCACTAAACAAATCTTTAATGAGGGTCTACTATGTATCAGACACTATTCTATGTGCTAAGGAAATAGTAACATACAGACAGGGTCCTTACTCTCAAGAATTCTAGTGGAAATAGGAAATAGTGGAATAGGTAAATAAACAAACAGGATATTTTCAGACAGTGATGAATTCCACAAAGGAAATAAAACAGGAAAATCTAATCAATAGTGAGTAGATGGTGGAAGGCTGAGTGAGGAAAAGTAATTTTAAATTTAAACTTTAACTGTAAAAAAACTCCATGAAGGGGTACCTGGGTGGCACAGTCAGTTAAGCATCCAACTCTTCGTTTTGGCTTAGGTCGTGATCTCAGGGTCATGAGATCGAGCCCCACGTCAGCTCTGCACTCAGCGTGGAGTCTGCTTAAGACTCTCTCTCCCTCTGCCCCCACCAAAAATAAATCTTTTAAAAAACCCCATGGAGCAGGCGCCTGGGTGGCTCAGATGGTTAAGCGTCTGCCTTCGGCTCAGGTCATGATCCTGGAGTCCTGGGATCGAGTTACGCGTCAGGCTCCCTGCTCCTTGGGAGCCTGCTTCTCCCTCTGCCTCTCTCTCTCTCTCTCTGTGTCTTTCATGAATAAATAAATAAAATCTTTAAAAAAAAAAAAAAAACCATGGAGGGGCGCCTGGGTGGCTCAGTCATTAAGTGTCTGCCTTCGGCTCAGGTCATGATCCCAGGGTCCTGGGATGAAGTCCCACATTGGGCTCCCTGCTCGGCGGGAAGCCTGCTTCT